AGAGGATGAAAACGAAGAGAGGTGAAATGAAGGAAAGATAGAGAGGAGTTGGGAGAATGATGGTAAAGCAGGGAGAGTTTAGGGAATGGGAGAGAGAGAGAGAGAGAGAGAGAGAGAGAGAGAAAGAGAAAGAGAGAGAAAGAGGAAGAAGGGAGAAAAAATGGTATGGGATGGCGATTGAAAACAAGCGAGAACAAACAAAACAACTTGAAATGAAGAGATAAAAGTGCCGAACACGCACCCAGAGAGCCCCCCCTCTCCCCCCTCTCCCCCCCCCCACACACAGACAGGTGCATTTCGACCCCCCCTCCCCCTTCCCCTTCCGCATAGGCCTAACGCAAGTCCCAGAATATCGAGAATGACACTCCCCCCCTAGCCCCGATCTCCCCCCCCCACCACTCCTTGACCTCTTCCGGCAGAGATCAAGGGAAAGAGGTCATTCCGAGAGGTCAAGTCACCGTCAGTCACGTCAGCAGGTCGTCAGCAAAGTGTCTCAGAAAGGAGGGCGTGGCGTTTGGGGTTTTAGTGTGTATTTAGCTATATGTATGTCTATTTATCTATCTGTCTGTTTATCGTTTTCTCTTTTTCTCTTTTCTCTCTCTCTCTCTCTCTCTGTCTCTCTCTCTCTCTCTCTCTTTCTTTTCTTTCTCTCTCTCTCTCTCTCTCTCTCTCTCTCTCTCTCTCTCTCTCTCTCTCTCTCTCTCTCTCTCTCTCTCTCTCAATATATACGTGTGTGTTTGTGTTTGTATGTGTATGTTTGTATATGTGTCTTTCTCCCTCCCTCCCGCCTTCCTTTCCTCTCCCTCCCCTCTCCCCCTCCCCCCCACTCCCCCTGCCCCCTCCCCCCAACTCCTCCTGCCCCCCCCCCCCCCCCCCCCCTGTCCTTCCACCTGGCAAGCAACGGCGGCAATAAGGACCGGGGGAAATGCGTGCGTCCCGGGAAACACAGTGTGCGTGCGGCGTTTCAGGCGAGAAAATGGTACATCATTCAGATTTAATGTTTATTATTCCCGAGGATTATGCAATTGTTTGACATCTGACGCCCGGGGTTGGTTGGCCTCGACGCGCGATCGGAATGTGTCTGTTCCCTGCTGTCTCTTTTTTTTTTTGTTTGTTTGTTTCTCTTTGCTCTCTCTTTCTTTCTTTCTACCTCTCTCTCTCTCTCTCACTCTCTCTCTCTCTCTCTCTCTCTCTCTCTCTCTCTCTCTCTCTCTCTCTCTCTCTCTCTCTCTCTCTCTCTCTCTCTCTTTCTGTCTACCTCTCTCTCTTCTCTTTTTTTTTTCTCTCTCTTTCTTACTTTCTTTCTTTCTTTCTTTGTACCCGCCCTCTCTTTCCCTCCTCTTCCTCTCTCACCCTTCATCCCTCTCATCCACCCACCCTCTTTCCCTCTTGTCCCTCTCTCTCTCCCCCTCCTCCCCCACCCCCTCTCCCTCCCTCACCCTTCCCTTCCTCCCCTCCCTCTCCTCTCCCTCCCCCCTCCCTCCATCTTCCCTCCTTCACCCTTCCGCCCTCTCCCTTCCCTCCTTCACCCCTCCCCCTTCCCTCCCTCCCCCTTCACCCCTCCTCCCTCCCCCTTCCTTCTTTCGCCCCTCCCTCCCTCCATCTTCCCTCCTTACCCCCTCTTCCCCCCTCCCCCTCCCCTCCTTCACCCCTCCCCTTCCCCTCCCTCACCCCTACCCCTTCCCTCCTTCCCCCCTCCTCCCTTCCCTCCCCCCCTACTTCTCCTAAATAGAATCCGTTGTTTTTCCCCCTATTTATCCCCGGCGAATCTTTCCCGACGGGTCCCGAGTCACGTCCCGAGGCCCAGCCGTGGGACGCCGGGGGGAGGCTGCAGTGCTCTCCCGAAGGCGCTGTCGGTCGGTCGGTCGGTCGGGGAGGCTCTAGGAATGGGAAGAAAAAAGAAAAAAGAAGAAGAAAATAATAATAATAATAATAATAATAATAATAATAATAATAATAATAATAAAAACAGCGTGTGAACAATGTGGAGTTTGGATTTTTTTGAAGAGTTGGGGGGAACCCTCATCACCACCATCATCATCACCACCACCATCATCATCATCATCATCATCATCATCATCACCATCATCCTCGCCATCATCACCATCACCATCATCATCATCGCCATCATCATCATCTTCATCATCATCACCACCATCATCATCATCATCATCATCATCATCATCATCACCATTATCATCGTTAATATTACAATTATTAATGATATCATCATTATCAGTATAAGGAAGAATTTATCTTAATCTTATGAACGTATAGGACTTAAATATAATAATTTTTAACTTGAACTTTTTTCCTCGCGTTTCGCATAGTTATTTAATGAAAAAAAAAGAAAAAAAAATATTACGATACGGCAACCTTTCGCAGACCCAGCTGTCAAAGCACTGATGAGTTATTTTGGAAACCTTTCTTTTTTCTTTCTTTCTTTCTCTCTCTCTTTCTTTCTTCCTTTATGTGTGCATGTATTTATTTATCTGTTTATTTGTTTGTTTATTTATTTTCTTTCTTTTTGTCCTTCTTTCTTTTTTTATTCTTTCTCTTGTTCTTTTTTCTTTCGTTCTTTTTTTCCTTTTTTCCCCTTTTATTCTTCGATCTAGAATAGAGGGAGGAGAGTGGGAGAGAGTGAAGAGAAAAATGGGGGGGGGGTGAGGGAGGGAGAGCGGAGGGCGCGAGAGAAAGGGAGAGTAGGGAGGGAGGGGGTGGGGATGGATATAGGGAATGGGGGTGGGTGAGAGAAAGGGAGAAATAGCAAAGGGGGAAGAGAGAAAGATGTGGGAAAGGGAGGAGGGAGAGAATAGAGGGGAAGAGAGAGAAGGAAATATTGAGGAGAAGAGGAAGGGGGGAGGGGTGGAAGATGAGATAATGGAAAGAGAAAATCGTGGAAAGAGAGGGGAAGAAGAAGAGGAGAAGAGAGGGGAAAGAGGATGTCAAGGAATGAGGGGAAATAAAGGTAGTAGGGAACGGGGGGGGGGGGGAGGGAGAAGAGGGAATGGGGAGGAAAGATGAAGGGGTAAGGGGGGGGGGGAGGGCAGGGGTGAATAGCTATGGTCATTTATTAAACGTAAGAGATCAATGTTCGTGTTGACAAATAATCAATTCTTTTGGTTGCAAAATGAAAAGGAAGAGGAATTCGAATCCGCGGAAATATACAATCACAAAATGGCGTCTTAAAAAAGGAAAATATATTAAATGTAATCACCATATTAGGTCATCACGCCATATGACACTAAATATCATTTCCGCTGAAACTGACCCTGTGCCAGTCACGGTGGCGTGGCACAGAACCGGCACCCGCGGAGAATAAAGACGTGCTTCTCACTTATTTAGCTTATAATCTCGCCTCTACTAACCTCCGTGGCAATTCTGTTCATACGAAAATATAACTCCGGTAAAACCTTTCCTTATTAGGTGCCGTACACACATGTACACACGCACGCACATACGCGCACAAACGCACATATGTACACGCGCTCTTTCACAAACACACGCACGCCCACACATACACTCACGCATACACACACACACACACACACACACACACACACACACACACACACACACACACACACAGAGAGAGAGAGAGAGAGAGAGAGAGAGAGAGAGAGAGAGAGAGAGAGAGAGAGAGAGAGAGAGAGAGAGAGAGAGAGGGGAGAGAAAGCAAGCGAGCAAGAGAGAGAGAGAGAGAGAAAGAAAGAAAGAAAGAGAGAAAGCGAGCAAGCGAGTAAGTGAAAGAGAGAGAGAGAGAGAGAGAGAGAGAGAGAGAGAGAGAGAGAGAGAGAGCCAGAAGAACGTAAACCCCACCTTGTCTCACACCAGCCAGCTATTTTCATATTTTGCATACAATTATAACTTTTGTGATACCAGTGAGCGCCTCGGAATAAGCTCACTGATTACCATTGCTTGTGAGATTGAGACTAAAATGGGATATCTTGACGTCGTGGTTTATTGTGGGCGCGTTTTAGCTTTTTTTCTTTTTCTTTTCTTTTTTTTCTTTTCGCCTTGGTGTTGATTTTTTAAAGAAAATCTTATTCTTGTCGTTCTGCTGTTTCTCTTCTTTATTATTTCATTTTCTAGGCTTTATCGTTCTTCTTAGGTTCGTCCTTTCCTTTGCCTTTTCCTTTCCCCTCTTTTTTTCCCCGTCCTCTATCTCTTTTTTCCTTCGGCTTCCTTTTCCTCTCTTCTTTTACTCGTCCCTTTTTTCCTTACTTTCACCTCCCACTTTTCCTCTCTTTCTCCTCCCACTTTTCCCCATTCTTCCATCTGGTTTCCCCTCTTTTTTCCTCCCCACTTTTCCCCTCTTTCTCCCCATTTTCCTCTCCATCTCCTCACTCTTTTCCCCTCATTCTCCTCCTCTTTCTTCCCCTTTTCCTCCTCTTCCCCTTTCCCCCCCTCTTTCTCTTCCCCTTTCCCCTCCTTTTCTTCCCCTTTTCCCCCTCTTTCTTCCCCTTTTCCCCCTCTTTCTTCCCCTTTTCCCCCTCTTTCTTCCCCTTTTCCTCCTCTTCCTTCCCCTTTCCCCCCTCTTTCTCCTTCCCTTTCCCCCCTCTTTCTTCCCCTTTTCCTCCTCATTCTCCTTCCCTTTTCCCCCTCTTTCTTCCCCTTTTCCTCCTCTTTCTTCCCCTTTCCCCTCCTTTTCTTCCCCTTTCCCCCCTCTTTCTTCCCCTTTCCCTCCTCTTCCTTCCCCTTTCTCCCCTGTTCCCCTCATTCTCTTCCCCATATCCTCCTCTTTCTTCCCCTTTTCCTCCTCTTTCTCCTTCCCTTTCCCCTCCTTTTCTTCCCTTTCTCCCCTCTTTCTTCCCCTCTTCCCCTCCTTTTCTTCTCCCTCCTCCCTTCTCTCCCCCTCTTTCTTCCCCTTTTCCGCCTCTTTCTCCTTCCCTTTCCCCCCTCTTTCTCCTTCCCTTTCCCTCCTTTTCTTCCCCCATCTCCCCTCTTTCTTCCCCTCTTCCCCTCTCTTCCCCTCGTCACCCGTCGAGCAGGTGCCCGAGATGGACGAAGAATCGGCACTGCGGCTTCCGACGATGACCCTCGAGAAAAGGTGTCACTCAAGCGGGATCTCGGAGGCCATTGTCAACCTTATGGCCGGGTGCGGGAAGGTCGAGAATCGCGCGGGCGGAAGGGATATTGAGAGTCGTATTCCGTTGCCGGGGTATTGAAGGAGGGTAGGGGTGGGGTGGGGTTGGGAAAGGGGGTAGGGGGGTGAGGGGGGGAAAGGGGGGAAGGGGGGGTGTTCACTTTGAGGGTTCTCACGGTCGTTTATTGTCGTTGTATTGTGTGTTCTTTTTTTCGGTTGCTGTTATTATTTGTGTATTAAAAAAAAAAAAAAAATCCTATATTATAAGAATCAAATCTCCAGGAACATACGAGAACTGAACAAAGGAAAGAAAAGAAAGAAGAACGAATAAATGAGCGAAAGAGAAGAAATGAAAATACGAAAAAAGGAATAACAAAAAATAATAATAATAAGTATCGACAAGGGAAAATTAATAAATGAGTGAAAGAGAAGAAATGAAAATACAAAAAAAAAAAAATAATAGTAAGTATCGAGAAGGGAGAAAGAATAAATTAATGAAAAAGAAAACATGAAAATACAAAAAAAGGATTTAAAAAGATAAAAGAAAATAATAAGTATCGACAAGGGAGAATGAATAGATGAATGAAAAAGAAAACACGAAAATACAAAAAAAAATGATTAAAAAAATAAAAAAAATAGTAATAAGTATCGACTCTGATGTCAAGGGAAGCTGCGTTGTTTTCTTGCATCTCCCGCCCTTTGCTGAGCGGCGCTGGCAGGTCGAACGATGTCGAAATGGCGACTGTCACTTCCCTTGGGCTCCGGGAGGCTGTCGAGTCTCGGGGGGGGGGGGGACAGGAGGAAGAGGGGGAAGGAGGAAGAGGGGGAAGGAAGGAGGGAGGGAGGAAGGGTAAGGAGGGAGGAAGGGGTAAGGAGGGAGGAGGGAGGGGAGGAAGGAGGGAGAATAAGGAGGAAGGAGGAAGAGGAGGTGGAGGAAGAAAGGAGGGAGGGGGGGGGTGAAAGGAGAAGGAGGGAAGAAGAGAAGAGGAGAGAGGGACAGGGGAAATATTCACAGGGGGGAAGAAGTGGAAGAGAGAGGAGGAAATGGGAAAAGAGGGAAGGAGGAGAGAGGAGGAAGAGAGGAAATGAATGAAAAAAGGGAAGATTATATTAAAGACGAGAAGAACAGAGAAAGAAAAAGAAAGAAAGAAAGAAAAAAAAGCAAAACAAGATAGAGAGGAAGAAGAGATAAGAAAAAAAAATGTAGAGAAAGGGGAGGAGAGAGAGAGGGGATACAGACCCCCTCCCCCCCGCCCCGCCCCTTGTACAAGTTACGGGCCCTGAAGGGAGTCCACCGCCGGTCTGTGATGTCTCGAGCAGCGAAGGGAACGTGATTTTGAACTCGGCATTTTTACCTTTTTTTCCTGATGTTTTTTTGTCATTATTGTTTATAGTGTTATATCTGTTTTAGTAGAGGTATTGTCATTATTATTATTATTGTCATATTTTAGTAGAGGTATTGTCATTATGCTATTTTCGTCACTATCATTTATTACTATTATTTTCATTATCATGGTTATCATTTTTATTATTGTTATTGTTGCTATCATTATATTTGATATTGCTATTATCACTGTCATCAGCAGTAACACGATAAATTAACACTGCAAGTTTTATTCGCATTTTTTTAAGATATTAAGGTATAGATTTACATGTTTTTCCTCATTAAAAAAACTATCTTTATATAGTTTTTTGGTGTAAAGTGTATTTATTTTTAAATTTCTTTACTGAACACTCAACGTCTTCAACATTTATCCATTTTCTTCATTTTTTTTTCTTTCACATTTTCTTTCCCCGCATTTTCTCCCTCCTTCATTACTTCCCTCCATTCTTCATTCCCTTCTCATTCGTAACCCTCACTTCTTTTTCTTTCTCTCCTTTTCCCTCCATCGTCCCCTCGTTTATTCCTTTTCTCTTTCTCTCTTCCCCTCGTTTATTGTTTTTCTCTTTCTCTTTCCCTCGTTTATTATTTTTCGCTTTGTCTCTTCGCCTCGTTTATTCTTTTTCTCTTTCTCTCTTCCCCTCGTTTATTCTTTTTCTCTTTCTCTCTTCCCCTCGTTTATTCTTTTTCTCTTTCTCTCTTCCCCTCGTTTATTCTTTTTCTCTTTCTCTCTTCCCCTCGTTTATTCTTTTTCTCTTTCTCTTCCCCTCGTTTATTCTTTTTCTCTTTCTCTCTTCCCTCGTTTATTCTTTTTCTCTTTCTCTTCCCCTCGTTTATTCTTTTTCTCTTTCTCTTCCCCTCGTTTATTCCTTTTCTCTTTCTCTCTTCCCCTCGTTTATTCCTTTTATCTTTCTCTCTTCCCCTTGTTTATTCTTTTTCTTTCTCTCTTCCCCTCGTTTATTCCTTTTCTCTTTCTCTCTTCCCCTCGTTTATTCCTTTTCTCTTTCTCTCTTCCCCTCGTTTATTCCTTTTATCTTTCTCTCTTCCCCTCGTTTATTCCTTTTCTCTTTCTCTCTTCCCCTCGCCAAGCCTCGGCCTCTTCAGTGAGCTCATAATTCTTAATCTTCTCCCCGCCTGTCTCTTCCTCTCGCATTCCCACCTGTCCTCTCTCTTCTTCGTTCCTCTGGCCTTTCCCAGTCCAGACAGCTCCCCCCCCTCCCCTCACTCCCCTCGCTTCCCTTGCTCTGGTTCCCCCCTGCCTCTTTCCCCTCTTCTCTCTTATCCTCTTGTCCTCTGTCTCTGTCTCTCTCTCTCTCTCTCTCTCTCTCTCTCTCTCTCTCTCTCTCTCTCTCCTCCTCTCCCCTCACTGTCTCCTTCCCCTCTCTCTCCCTCCTTCCCTCTACCCTCGTCCACTCCTTTTCTTTCCCTCTCTTTCCGCACTCTGTCTCCTTCCCCCTCTCTCCCCTCTCCCCTCCCTCTACCCTCCCCCTCCTCATCGAACCACCCTTTCTCTCTCTCTCTCTCTCTCTCTCTCTCTTTCAGTCTTCACACTCCCCTCCCATACCTCTCCCCTCCTCTACCCTTTCTCCCCCTCCCTCTCCCTCCCCACCTCTCTCTCCCCTTCTCTTCTCTCTTTCTCCCCTCCCCCCCCCCCCCTTAGGGAACCCAGTCACCATCAATTGTCAGTTGGTTGGTTTATTTTGCCTTTGCTTTCTACAAAACAATGTGATTTATATTTGCCGCGGGTCCGGTCCCAGAGGCCATTGGCAGAACACGGTGCGAATGTGCGGAGTTTGCTGTGAATGCGAGAAGGAGGAAGAGGAGAGGGGGGGGGGAGAAGGGGGGGATGGAGAGGGAGGAGGGAAGGGGGGATGGAGGAGAGAGAGAGAGAAGGGAGGGGGGATGGAGGAGAGAGAGGAGGGGGGGTGGAGGAGAGAGAGAGAAAGGGGGATGGAGGAGAGAGAGAGAAGGGGTGATGGAGGAGAGGGAGGAGGGAGAAGGGGGGCGTGGAGGAAGGGGGGAAGAAAGACGGTGGGGCGAGAGAAGGGAGAGAGAGAAGGGGGGATGGAAGAGAGGGAGGGAGGAGAAGTAGGGTGGGGTAGGGAGAAGGAATTTGCGGTGGAGGAAAATAGGAGGAAGGGGGAAACAGAAGAGAGGAAGAGGGAATGTGGGAGGAAGGTGAGAGGGAGAAAGAAATGAAGGGAGAGTCAGATATGAGTGAGAAATGAGAGAGAGAGAGTAAGGGTGGGGAGAGGGAGATTGGGAGAGGGCTAGAGAGAAGGGGAAAAGAGACAGACAGAAAAGACAGACAGACAGAAAAAGGGAAGATAAAGTAAGAGAACAGAAGTACAAGAGAGAGAGAGAGAGGGTGGGGAGAGAGAGAGAGAGAGAGAGAGAGAGAGAGAGAGAGAGAGAGAGAGAGAGAGAGAGAGAGAGAGAAAGATAGACTGAGAGAGAGACAGAAAGAGAAAGATAGAGAGAGAGAGACAGAAAGAACAGAGAGAGAGAGCACGGAAAAAAAGCGCAATGCACCCATTAGCCGCCTATCCCCTCAGGATGGACACGGAGAGTATCGAGGCGCTGCGCTGTCTCGAAAATGCCTCGCAGAACGCTTTTCCTAATGCCATGGCCTCCTTTTCCTACTCGACCAATTTTTCCTTGACTCTGCTTGCGTCGCTTCATGCTCCCCCGCGGGCGTTGGCGCCGCCCACTCTCGACGCCGCGGTGTACCTGTTTCTGCTGGAGCTTATTTTCGTTTTCGCTCGTTTCGTGTTGGTTCTGTGCGAAAAGTATATGTAAATGAGGTGGGGAAAATATAGGGTTGGAGAGAGATGTGAATGTGCTGGGATTGTGTTTACTTTTCGTTATTTATTATTATTATTATTTTGTCTGTTTGTCTGTCGTGTTCCCCTTTTCTCTTTCTATTCTTCTCTTCTTTTCCTCCTTCCATATTTCTCTTTCTGCTTCTAACTGCTACTTCTCCTTCCCCTCTTCTTTCTCCGCTTTCCTCTTCTCCCTTTACACCAATCTCTTTCTTTTTCTCTCTCCCCTCACCTCCCCTCTCTTCATTCCACCCTTCCTTCTCCCCATTCCTCCTCACCATCTTCCCCTTCTTTCTTCCCCTCTTCCCCTCTCTTCCCCTCGTTATTCCTTTTCTCTTTCTCTTCCCCTTTTCCCCTCCTTTTCTTCCCCTTTCCCCCCTCTTTCTTCCCCTCTCCCCTCTCCCCTCTCCCCTCTCCCCTCTCCCCTCTCCTCCCCTCTTTCTTCCCCTTTTCCTCCTCTTCTTCCCCTTTTCCTCCTCTTCTTCCCCTCTTCCTCCTCTTCCTCCTCTTCCTCCTCTTCCTCCTCTTCCTCCTCCTCCTCCTCGTCCTCATCATCATCATCACCATCACCATCATCATCATCATCATCATCATTATCATTATCATCCTTCTCCTCCTCCTCTTCCTCCTCTTCCTCCTCTTCCTCCTCTTCCTCCTCTTCCTCCTCTTCCTCCTCTTCCTCCTCTTCCTCCTCTTCCTCCTCTTCCTCCTCT